CAGCAGGGATTGAGTTGGTGGAAAAATCTGCTGGATCCCCAGGTAGATCCTCTTAAAGAACCCACACAGACTCAACCACTTAGACTCACTCCCTCTGAGCTCCAGACCTGGGGTGGCAGCTTGAAAGGCACCAGAGATATACAGGAAGAAACTGAAGTGTCTGGCATCAAGGTGAGCAGAGGCCATTCTCCCTTTTCTAAACCCTCTTCTCAAAGAGACAGCAAACTGGTGCCATATCTGAGACTCCATTATCCTGCGTAACACTCTTTGACTCACCTTAGAAATCCCCAGGGACTACACCCCACCCAACTTATGGGCCCATGCAAGCTGCTTTTCCATATGAATGGCTGGTATTGGCCATGTTTCACAACTTCCTAAATTCTATCAAAAAAGGCAACAGCTGGTCAGTGAACCCTAGCCCCTGCACCAGCAGCAGCTAGCCTAGTTTCACAGCTTGGCTTCACCTGGGTATCTCCAAGCCCAGCACAAGTACATAGTCTCAGATTGCTTGATGGTTCAGGCAGTGTGGTCCCAGACAAAACAAAGGTGGGGGCTGACCTTAGCCTGTCCCACCCAGAAAACCCCAGGGCCAGTGCACCCAGTGGACAGCTACTGACCACAATGGAGCACCACCACCCTGCCCCTGCACAGCTGATCCTCCATGGAGGGCAGAGGTGTGTGGTCAGTGGTCATAAATGACTGGTCTGGGTAAATCCCTCCCATTGATCTAACAACAGCAACAAGTCTCAACTATAAGAGGAGGGTATACTCAGTCCACATGAAGGGCACACTTCAAGTACCCTGCTTGAGTGATAGGGAGAGCTGTGCCATGGACCCTACAGGATACCTACTACATTAGGCCACACTACCAAGTCATGGAGTCAAAGTAGCTCTACCTACTACATAGAAACAAACACAGGGAGGCTGTCAAAATGAGGGGACAAAGAAACATAGCCCAAATGATGAACAGGTCAAAACTCCAGAAAAAGAGCTGAAAAAAATAGAGATAAATAATCTATCAGATGCAGAATTCAAAACACTGGTTATAACGATGTTCAAGGATCTTAGTGAGGACCTCAAGAGCAGAAAAAAGATCCAGTCAGAAATGAAGGATTCACTAATTGAAATAAAGACCAATGTACAGGAAAACAACAGTAGAGTGGATGAAGCCAAGAATAAAATCAATTATATGAATTATAAGGAATCAAAAAACAACCAATTAGAACAATAAGAAGACAAAAGATTAAAAAAAATGAGGACAATACATGCAGCCTCTCAGACAACTTAAAGTGGTCCAACATTCACATCATAGGGGTGCCAGAAGGAGAAAAGAAAGAGCAAGAGCAAGAAATGGGAAATCTATTTGAAAAAAAAATGAAAGAAGACTCCTCTAATTTTGTGAAGAAAATAGACATGCAATCCAGGAAGCATAGAGAGACCCAAACAAGATGGATACAAAGAGGCCCACTCCAAACACACCATAGTTAAAATACCAAAGGTTACAGATAAAGAGAGAATCTTAAAAGCAGCAAGAAAAAAAGAAGTTAGTTATCTTCACAGGAGTTCCCATAAAGCTGTCAGCTGATTTCTCAAAAGAAACTTTTGTAGGCTAGAAGGAATTTTGGCCTACAAAATTGGCAAGAAATATTCATAGTCATGAAAAGCAGGGACCTACAGCCAAGATTGCTCTACCCAGCAAAGCTTTCATTTAGAATCTATGGCAGATAAAGAGCTTCCCAGACAAGAAAAAAAAAAACTAAAGGAGTTCATCATCACCAAAACATTATTATATGAAATGTTAAAGGGACTTATTTAAGAAAAATAATATTAAAACTATGAACAGTAAAATGGCAAAAAATACAAATCTATCAACAATTAAATCTAAAAAACAAAGTAAGCAAACAAGAACAGAGACAGAATGACAGATACAGAGAATGTTTTGATGGCTGCCAGATGGGAGTGGGTGTGAGGGAATGGGTGAAGAGGTGAGGGGACTGGTAGTTATAGCATAGCCGTGGGGATGTAAAATACAGTGTAGGAAGTGGAGTAGCCAAAGAAGTTATATGCATGACTGATGGACATGAACACTGGTGGGGTGATTGCCTGAGGAAGGGATCCTGGTTGGAGGGATGGCAAAGGGGGAAAAGTTGGGACAACTGTAATAGCATAATCAATAACATACTTTTTTGAAAAGCAAAGAAAACTTCAAGGAAGGGGGCCCAGAGGCTCAGTGCCCAGTATGCAGGGTTTTTAGAATCCTTTCATTCTCAACCAGGGATTTGACTGCTGCTGGTTCTGTATGAGGCATGCCTTGTTTAGTGTAATGCAGAGAATATGTTTTTGATTTCCTGTCAGGGTTGGGAGAATTACATCTGAATTTTCAAGGTAGAGTAGGCATGGGCACTTTCCTGTCATCCATCAGTCTCCCCCGGCAACTGGTGCGAATATTGGACCTTCACATTGATCTGTGGAGAAAATTGGAGTCTTATGCATGTTCTCTATTCCCAGATAGCCAGTGAGCTGTCTTTTGGTTTCTGAATATAGAGTTTGTTTGTTTCATTTCCTCCTCTGTTTAGGGTAACTTTTGAGAGAAGGATGTAACAGAAGCATTTTTATTCCATCATCTTAAAATAGGAACTTAATGTTTTTCATGGGTTGATTTGTGTCTGCCTCCCTGCTAAATTTATATGTTGAAGTCCTAAACTCCAGTACCTCAGAGTATAACCTTATTTGAATATTGGGCCTTTAAACAGTAATCAAGTTAAAATGAGCAAATTAGGGTAGGTTCTAATTCAATAGGAAAGTTATCTTTTTATAAGGAGGAAATTTGGGCAGAGAGACAGACATGTGCAGAGGGAAGATGTCTTTCTACAAGCCAAGAGGAGAAGCCTGGACCTTATATCATGGTCCTCAGAAGGAACCTACCTTGCAGACACCTTGATTTTAGACTCCTGGCCTCCAAAACTGTGAGACAGCAAATTTCTGTTGTTTGAGCCACCTAGACTGTTATACTTTGTTATGGAAGCCTAAGCAAACCAATACAATGCTATTTTTCATTTGCTTGAATATCCTTCCCCCTACTTAGTGTGATTTGTGCTCTTTAAAACACAGCTTTGTGTCATCCACTTTAAGAAAATATTTTTGATCCAGTTTAATTAAATATCCTTCTTTGTAGCTATCATGATGTACTGTAGTGATTAACCTTCTTGTCTGTCTTCCACACTAAGCCATTAGTACTTGAGGTCTAGGATCATGTCTTACCACAGTGCTTACACACAGGAGGCTTAAATATTATTTATTGAATGCTTATATTATAAGTATAGCTTTTGGGAGAGGATAATTAAAACTGCATTTTAGTTGAATAACAAAAATTTAAGTTTTAATATGTTGAATTAGTATTTAATGATAGAAAAAAATATGTGAATACAGTGACATAGACAATTCTAGCACTTAGAACTAAGAAAAATAGTGATCAAAAGTTTTTTCTCCCCTATTTCTAAACAGAAACTTCCTATCCTGCCTAGAGATCACAAATGGGTGAGCACACATTAGGATGGCAAATAACTTTAAAGTCTTCATAGTAAGGTGCTGTGTGACCTCCCAGTTTCTGTAGCCTTTTAAATGACACTTTATATATCTAACTTTTCTTTTTAGGTCAAAAACTAGGACCATATTCTGTTAAAGAATAAGTGGTTAAGTTTAAAAGGAAGGAGTACAATAGAATTTAGGTTCCCGACTCAAGTCATCATTTCTGATGTAATTAAATATTTTACTCCTTCTTTTAATATCTTGATTAGAAGATATATTCCGTTGTCCCTTTCCCCGCCTTTTAGGTTTTATATAGAATATTTGTGATGAAGACTAGCCTTGTCTAAAAATAAGGGGTCATTCTGTCCTATCGTAGTTGCCTTTTGTTGAGGATATAGATAAGAGGATATAGCTATGGGGGCGGGTTTGGATATACAACGGATTTCTGAACAATAACTCAGAGCTCCACTATTCTAATTAGTAATGTTATTGATGAAATTATTTGATGAAAAATGGGTTTTATAATGACAGAAATGGGGGAATGAATTAAGAAGTGCTTGAGGAAATATTATAGTAAGAAAAAAGGGTGGGGAAGATGAGCCTACATAAGCTTTATGGATTATTAGTCCAAAGAGTTAGGCCTGAAATATGTAGCCTACTGCTATGAGGATGCTGGTAGTTTTATGAGAAAAACGGAATTTCGTACACATTAGCTTATCAGCCTGGCCTCTGTGCCTTACTACAAATCAGTGTGAGAGACAGAATACTTGACATCTCATAAATTCTGGAATATCTGGTTACTGTGCCAGTGTGTGGAACCCTGACATGGTGGGTCAGTGGGACTAAAGACATCCTGCTGTGTGTGCTAGCTCTCTTAAGGCTCCTCCTGGTCCTAATTCAGGCAGAATGATGACTCTTGTGCTCTTAAACAGGCCTTGTTTTTCTGCTTGAAATTAGGAATGAGCCTCAGGTATAGATTGGGAATGCAAAGACTTAGAAAGAAATGCACATCTGGAATTGTGTGGTATCAGTCACCAGTTGACAGGCTATTTAATAGGATACCATTAGTGAGCAGTAGATATGTCAGTGCTTCTAAGTCAGTGTCACTGTGGCTTGTCCTTGATATTGACTGATCAGTCAGTTGGAATATTCTTGAAAAATATTTAACTCTTTCTCTATTTCAAAGCCTTCTCATTAGAAAGAACACAGTATGTTGACTATCTCTGAGTTGATATTTTTAAAGCTTAGTTTATAGATCATACTTTAAAATGTGCCTTACTAGCCTTCTTTTTTATATATCCCAAGGGACATTTTCAGACATATGCATAAATCATTCAATAGGCAAGTGTGTATGGTAAGCATGCTGTATGCTTAGTACAGAGGATGAGTTAATTAAAACCAGATCCATGGTAGGCAGGCTGGTATATTGTGGTGGTGCTTTTTCCTATGATTTTCTTCCTATGCCTTTACAGGCCAGAAGCCAGGTGTATAAGGATTCTCTAAAGGAAGAAGAAAATCGAAAATTACAAAAGATGAAGGAAGAACAACATCGGAAGGTATTCACAATACCCTGTTAGTCATTGCTAATTATTATTTACTTCTGACAATGATTTTGAAGTGTTTCTTGAACAGAAATATTTATATGCATGAAAATCCTGAAAAAATAACACAAGCCATTAATGCTAAAAAGTGAGATGTGGGTATGTCTTAAAATATGGTGGCTAATTCTAGTTAAAACTACCATACTACTTTATCCCATAGGGGTTACAGTGTGTCTGTTATAATTGGTGCCAGCAGTTCATGGAAATTAAAGAACACTCGTGAACTTCTCATCTACAAAATATAAACAATGTCACTGCCATTTTTTAATTCAAACATGTGCATATGATATTATAAGCAGTGTTCAGGGAATGCTATAGTGCATACAAAGTAGGTATACACATTCATGAAACTGGCTTAAATATTCACCTAAAATACACATATAAAGGGCATAAAGATACTCTCTCTCTATATATAAATATGTGAGGCAGTTCAAAGTTTCTGAGGAGTAGAAATAAGTGCACCGAATGCAGAGCCTCCTAAGAAGAGTGCTTAGAAGGGTAATCCTCATTAGAATATGAAATTTCTGGCACAGCCACGGAAAACATTCAGTGTTCTGACTTGATGGTCATACTTGCTTTGATACATAGACCTAGAAAGGGCCAGGAGCTCCTCAGCATGAGCTGAGAATAGGGCAGAATACCAGAGGTTAGCTCTGAGGTGCCACTGCATTCCAAGTCCTTTGAAAAAGCAAAATAAGTTATTTGGCTAGTTGGAGACCATTATTTTCCCCATAATTCTCATTTTCTAACTTTTATTTTTACTATATTGGTGATTTATATATCCTGTCATTTATTCCAGAATCTCTCTCAAATCTATTTCATCAATTATACAATTAGCTTGAGTTCACATTTCCTTGATTTGGTTTAATTTTTCATCTTTATGTCTTTGCCACACAAGGGTAATTTATGATTACAGTTGTGTGTGAAACTCACATTATGAAATGAACTATATATATATTTTACTAATTGTTGTTGCTATAATTTGACTCTTTTGAGTGTTACCCTCCTTCCAACAGCAGTCAATCCCTTCCTTGCTCATGGTTTCACCCAACACACAGTACAAATGACTGTCACTAACCTGTTTTGTTTATGGTAGGCAGTAATTAAATTGTTGAAAGAATAATGCAAATTCAACATTTAGTTATTAAGCTTCTAAGCTATGAGACATTTTTATTCTCTAGTGTTTTTTTAAAAAAGAAATATATTTTTCTTTTGACAAAGGCTGTATTGAAATCCACAATTAAATAAGCAACATTATAGTAATATTCTGGGAGTTAACCAGTAGAAGCTAAATCTGGTATATACTCATGTTGTATTTTCAATGTCATTCAATTTCAAATGACATGGAAGTGTTAAGCTGTTTCTGTGATCTTTTAATTTACTACTAAGCCTGAGGTAGGTGCAGAGGAGAGTCTTACGAAGTTAGCATACATACGACTTATTTTAAAGTAACTCCTGTGTGAATTTTAAATAGTATTTTATAAAGTTTCGTGTATATTTTTGGAATGTGAAAACCATTAAAAGTAAAACATTTTACAAAGAGAATGCTCAACAGATTAGAAAATCAGATCTGGGATTTAATTTTCAGGTTGGGCAGTTAGTTATTAAACAGTGAAAATTAAGCTTTTTATTTCTTAATCTTATTTTTCTTCTAGAGTTTGACAAATATTGATACATACATATTTCCTAGTTATTGATTGAACATACTTTTCTTTTATATGAGCTGTTTCCCTGTACTTACTGTAGCCTTTGGTAAAATGAATAATATTAGCACATAGATAATTCCATCATTAGGGGTTTCAATAATGGTATAACACATTAGGGTATTTATCGTACTTTTATTGAATCTGTTGTTAGAAAATGTCCACTGAAGGCATTCCCTGATTGGTAGAATCTGTCATTCCTTATCACTTCAATGATTTAGCTTAAGAGAAACAAGAAAGATCATGTCTTTGGTAAGAAACAGAAAACAACACATTTATATCATTGCATTTATTCATGTATCTGTTCATTCCATTCATTTAACAAATATTTATTGAATACCTTCTTTGGAATAACTTGTAAATACATCATCTAGGTTAAGTTGAGGTGACAGTACATTTATTTGGTTCTTTATGTCACTGACTTTCACATTGTTTTACTATGGTCTCTGGGGACAGTAGGTTTTTCTCTGTTTACATGTGATTAAGTTCCTTTTTCTACAATTTATTTGTAATTCCCTTTCCCCCTCTATACCTTCAGTATTTTTACTCTATTGACTGATACTTTTTTATCAACTAATATGCTCACTATTGCATTCATTCTAAAACGAACAAACCAACTAACCCCTTCCCTGATTCTGCTATTCTGATACATCACCTTTTCTGCTTCTACCAAATTAGTAAAAAGACAAAGGTAATATTACTATAATCATATTTTTAGAGTATTTTTATTGTTATTCTATTACAGCTGTCCCAATTTTTCCCCCTTTGCCTTCCTCCGCCCAGCCCACCTCCTACTCCCATAGTTAATCCCTATACTTCAGGTGTCAAATGCAAGGCCCTTAGGCCAAATCTGGCCCTCCCCTTTGTTTTATCCGGCCCAGCAGCACCTTGTTTCTACCCAGTGGCAACATGAGCTCTCACTCAACTGTTAAAGGTAGTTATATTTACACTGTCCTAAAACTACATTTGGCCCCTGAAAAGCATCTGCGAGGCTGATGTGGCCCCCAGTGAAAATGAGTTTGACACCTCTGCCCTATACTGTTGTCCATGTCCATGGGTCATTCATACATGTTCCTTGACTAGTCCCTTCCCCTTCCTTCCACCTTAATACTCCTCCCCTCTCCTCTGGTCACTGTCAACCTGTTCCATGTTTCCATGCCTCTGGTTCTATTTTGCTCAGTTTATTTTGTTCATTAGATTCCTCTTACAGCTCAGGTAATATGGTATTTCTCTTTCATTGCCTGGTTTATTTCACTTAGCATAATATTCCCCCATTCCATCCATGCTGTTGCAAAAGGTGGGAGCACCTTCTATCTTTCTGCTGTGTCGTATTCCACTGTGTAAATGTATCACAGTTTTCAGATCCACTTATCTACTGATGGGCACTTAGGCTGTTTCCAGCACTTGGCTATTGTAAATAGCACTGCTATGAATATTGGGGTACATAAGTTCTTTTGAATTGCTGATTCAGGATTCTTAGGGTATATTCCCAGTGGTAGAATTGCTGGATCAAAATGCAGTTCCATTTTTTTGTTGTTTGAGAAAATTTCATATTATTTTCCACAGTGGCTGCACCAGTGTACATTCCCAACAATAGTGCACTAGGTTTCCCTTTTCTCTACATCCTCACCAGCACATGTTTCTTGATTTGTTTATGATGGCCATTCTGACCAGTGTGAGGTGGTATCTCATTGTACTCTGATGGCTAGTGATGTTGAGCATCCTTTCATATGCCCTCTATATGTTCTTCTTGGAGAAGTGTTTATTCAGGTCCTCTGCCAATTTTTTAATTGAATTGTTTGTCTTCCAGGTGTTGAATCAGATGAGTTCTTTATATATTTTGAAGATCAAATCCTTGTCCGATTTATCATTGGCAAATATGTTCTCCCATATGATTGGTTTCCCTTTCATTTTCATGGTGATTCTTTAGCTGTGCAGAAACTTTTTAATCATATCTTTACTACATACATCATCCTTAATTTTTTACATTCCCAAATGCTCTTACTGAAACAACTCTTTGAAGGTAAAATCCCTTCTGAACATTCAGTTCAGTGGTCTTTTTGGAATCCCTGTCTCCCTGTAATTCTGTAACAGTATTTAACAACACCACTTTAAAACTTTTCTTTCTGGCCTTTTTACTGCATTTTGCTTCAAGTATCTGAGAATAATCTATTTTTTTAAGATTTTATTTATTTATTTTTAGAGAGGGAAGGGAGGGAGAAAGAGAGAGAGAGGGAAACATCAATGTTTGGTTGCTGGGGGTCATGGCCTGCAACCCAGGCATGTGCCCTGACTGAGAATCGAACCTGCGATGCTTTGGTTCGCAGCCTGCACTCAATCCATTGAGCTACGCCAGCCAGGGCAAGAATAATCTATTTTTATATTCATTCATGTATCCATCCATTAATTCATCCCATCAACAAATATATAGTGAGCTCCTATTATATGCTGAGTCTTGTGTAAGATGCTAGAGCTTCAATTAAGAACAGGATAGTTCCCATATGTAAAAATTAACTCAAAATGAATCAAAGGCATAGATATATGACCTAAAACAATAAATTACATAGAAGAAAACATAATTATGGACCTTGGTCTTAGAGAAGATTTTATGAATTTGACCCTAAAGGCAAAGAAAGTAAAGGCAAAAATAAATGAAAGGGACTATATTGAACTAAAAAGCTTTTGCACAGCAAAAGAGAACACCAGCAAAACAAAAATGCAACCTACTGAATGGAAGATGCTATTTGCAAACAATAGCTCTGACAAGGGGTTAATCCAAAATATAGGATGGGGCACAAATAGATTTACATTTGTTTGTATGGAAAAATAATGCTATAGTAAATAATAATACAAGAATAAACTCTGTTTCACATATTCACACAAATGTAAATCTACTTTTGGCCCACCCTATATATGAAGAACTCATATAACTCAATACCACACAAACAACAAACCAATTAAATTGGCAGAGGACCTGAACAGACACTTCTTCCAGAAGACATACAAATAACCAACAGATATATGAAAACATGCTCAACTACACTAACTATCTGGGAAATGCAAATCAAAACTACAATGAGATACCACATCACACCTGTTAGAATGGCTATTATCCATAAAACAAGTAGTAACAAGTGTTGGACAGGTTGTAAAAAAAAAAGGAGCCATCATTCACTGCTGATAGGAAGGTAAACTGGTGCCGCTACTATGGAAAACAGTATCGAGGTTCCTTTAAAAATAAGAATAGAGTTA